GTATTACTTGGAGTTGCAAAAGGTCAAAGGTCAATCATGTTAAAAATTCTTTGGGCAGGATCTTGGACTACATACTAATTAACAACATCGAAGCTTACTCATCAGTTGAACCAAGCAACCATCCTTTGTTCAAGTGCGATCCTTACCCATCCAGCCCTCGAGCTTACCTCTGACACCGGTGTGACGGAAATAGTGAGAGATAACTGTTCTGAGATCACGGCATTCAATTTTCATCCAGGTACCTGCAACGCTCTCAATTCTCAATTTTCTGATATGGATTGATTTTTCATCGATGAACCTTTGAACCTTGATGAGATAGTGGAAAATTTGTATCGCATTGTTTATTCTGCCCTTGATAGATTTGTGCCTAAATGAGCCGTCGAAGATAATAGGTTTCCGAAGTGGTATCCACTAAAAAAACTTAGTTCCAAAAACAAGTACTACAAAAAATACAAATACTCCAGGAGTTTTCACGATTATACGATTTATTCAAACCTGCGAAGGGAAGTGAAATATCAAAAAGATCTTTGGTATGCCATCTTTAGGTATATCGAACATGGAACATGTACTATGTACTTACAAATATCAAGCACTTTTGGTTCTATGTTAACTCTTTAAGATAGGGCTCGGGCATTCCAGCTACGCTTCAACATAATGGGCAAGTTTTCGCCGACAATTATGCCATTTCGGATGCTTTTGCCGCCCACTTTCAATCCTATTGCTACACAGACTACAAAGGAGCACCAGATCCAGGAAGATTTCAACATACTCTTTGTCTCTAGGCTATCCTCTTATGACTTCTTGGAAAATAAAATCGAATCAAAGCTAAAGCAATTGGACAGCTCCAAGGATCCAGGTCCTGATGGCGTAATTCCCTCTCTGCTGCTTCAAAAATGTCACCGTTCCATTTCAAAACCTCTGTGGAAGTTATTTCAAAGATCTTTCAATCAGGGTTATTTTTCAAACTGCTGGAAAAAATCAACTATTTTTCTAATTCTCAAATCTAGCGACAGGAAAGACGTTCGCACCTACAAAGGAATTTCCCTATTATCAGCTATCCCCAAACTACTAGAGGCCATCATTTCAGAGAAGATCTTCGAAACGTATAAGCATCACATAATGGACGAGCAGCATGGTTCTCACCTGGGTCGATTTACAGCAACAAGCCTGGCCGTTCATCAAAACTACCTGGCCCATTCACTGGAAGCTTTGAGAACCACATTGAAAATATTGTGAACATATAGGGTTTAGGATGCTGGGCTTTGTGAAGCGTAACACAAAGCAGAATGGCGATGTCATCAAGTTGCAACCTTTGATATAAGATTTAAAAACAATCAAAGTTCTCTACTCGATCTTTTCCTGACAAGCGACAAAAAAAATGATGTCATTGATAGAGGCTAAAGAACCACTTGGGAAAAGCGATCACATCACTATTGCGGGTGTAGTGCAGCTGAGATTAAAACAAAATACAACAAAGAAAATAAAGAAGCGAAACTTTCACATTACTAACTACGAACTCATTAATTAATACATCAAGAACTTAGCAGGAGATATCGAACCAAGTGTCAAGAAGTACGAAGAATTTGAAAGCATTTGGGCAACAACAATAGATATTTTCTTCCCTGAGAAACTATGCCGGACCAACGTCCAAAAACCTTGATTGAATGCATTCATTTTTAAAGAAATTGACCTCAAAAGGAAATTATGGGACAAATTTAACAAACAAAAATCAGACCAAAACTATATAACATACAGGACACACAACAACAAACTGAAGTCTATGATCAAGAAGACAAGACTCAAATATGAACAAGACATCCGATAAACAATTTTACTCCTACATGAAAAGAAACCTCAATAGTCAACTACACGACGTAGTATTGAAAGACCCAGTAAATCAACGAATAATTGATGACCCCAGTCAGGGCCGTAGCTAGGGTCAAATTTGTGATAGGGCATAACAAATTTGACATAGGGCATACACCCCCCCCCCCCTTAAACTTTTTATAGGTTAACAAAAGAGGGGTAATGGCTCCGAAAGCAAATTTTTTAATAAATCAATGTTGTTTGAGAGAAGTAGGTTGCCTAATAACTTTATGACGTCATCTGGAATGCCTCAATATAATGAAAATCTCCAAGACACCCTAGATGCTTGCCCTAGATGCGGCATTAATGGCGATTTCCATTTGTTATCAGTGCCGCACTGAGTGTGTCCGCATTTTTTTCTAAAAGCATGTAACATGTAAAGATGAGGATACATTTTTTTTTGCCCTGATTCGACAAATGGAAAACGCTATAAGTTACCTCATTACCAGGCAACCTATTATTAACTTTAGGAACCTTGGGGAACCTTGTCAATAAATAACATCTCTGGCAAGTGAACAAAATGGCGCTGATTCTCGCGCCGCCATGGGCCATTGGCACTCTTTCGAAAGAAAAAACTTCCTCTGTGCAAATGTCAAACGTCGAACATTGTTGCATACATTTAGACGTTTCCGGGAACACTTTATTCTCGCGCACTTACTCGATTTCGATCTATTCCAATTCATTTCATTGTCTACTCTTTCAAATTTCCTAGAGAAACCTTAACACATGTAACCAATGCCCCCCCCCTGGCTACGGCCCTGACCCCAGTCCAGCGAAACGGCAGAGGCCTTTCTATTGGTAAAAATATTCAACAGCTCGCTAACAGATGGCATCCTACCAAAAATTTGGACCCAGGGCTATCATAATCCCAATTTTTAAGAGCGGAGACAAACGTCATCCTGCAAACTACCGACCAGTACGCCTGATATGCACACTCTGTAAAGTAATGGAAAAAATACTTGCAAAAGATATCACAAGTTTTCTACTGGAAAGTTCTATTATTCCACCGTCATAACAGGGATTTCTACCACAAAGATCAACCACCTCTTAAATTGTTTAAATTATTGGACCAAAGAAGTTGATGAAGGCAACCCAGTAGATATAGTGTATCTCGACTTTCAAAAGGCTTTCGACACCGTTCCACATTAAAGACTTCTGCACAAACTAGACCATTACGGGATCCTATCTTCGATGGAGTGACTCCTTTCTTAAATGTAGGAAATACGCAGTCAGGATCAATGGAATCTGTTCAGAACTACACCCCGTAATCAGCGGTGTGCCGCAGGGATCAGTGTTGGCTTCTATCCTCTTCATACTCTATTTGGCAGACCTAACCAAATGTTTAAAAAGTAACTTAGTATCCTTTGCAGATGACAGAAAACTCTTCCACAACCCATTGAAGCAATTGGATCAGTTTAAAGAGGACCTCAGTACAATCAAACGATGGACTGACACGTGGCAGTTGAAATTGAACGAAAAGAAATGTACAGGGCTGCATGTAGGAAAAAATAACCCGATGATTGACTATTGACTACAAAATTAGGGGAACCAAGCTAGAGAATGTTAACCAAAAAAAAGATTTGGGCGTGCACTTAAGCCAAGACCTTAAATGGGAAACACACATAGGCAGAGTTGTGAAGAAAGTGAATCAGTTGGTGTACCTAGTAAAAACAGCTTTTACCAATCACTCTATCCAAATGATCAAGAAAGTCTATATTACACAAGGCCCAAACTTGAGTACGCACACACAGTCTGAAACCCGTACTACTGCAAGGATATAGAGCTGTTTGAACGTGTTTAACGAAGAATCACAAGAATCCCAACTGAAATGCATAATCTTGCATATGATATTGGATTGCAAAGATTTAACCAAAAATCTCTGAAAGAAAGAAGAGAAAGAGGCGAGCTAATAGAGATCTATAAGATCCTGTGTGGACACTACTTCCTAGAACTGCATATGGCAGACATGTTTCAACAAAACATTAATAAAAACCTCAGAGAACACAAGAAGCTCAAGAAAGAGAAAACATCCTTAGCGTTAAGAAAAAACTTCTTATGCAACCGCGTAGTATACCGGTGGAATGCATTAAACCAGGATACCATAAACGTGCCTAACAAAAATATTTTCAAGAATAGACTGGATCGAAACCTATCTGAACTTACTTCCACCCCAGTACACTACTTCTAAACCCAATTAAAAGAAACGACATAGAATATTGGACAGAGAAGATACGATATACTCATCAGTGTTAAACCGCTTTCTATTGTTAGGCAAATAATAATAATAATAATAAATGATACCCAGGCGCTTCACCCTCTTTACAACTGTCTGGTGCGCAGCATCCTTGAATACTGCAGCGTAATCTGGTCTCATTTTTACAACTGACAAACAACGGATTGAAAGAGTTCAGGCAAAATTTTCCGAATACTTCCTGTACAAGCATCACTTTCTCTATGAAAACGTCGACCACAGCATTAGGCTCCTCCTGTGTGGCCTGAAATCATTAGAACAAATACAACGTGATCAGCTGCTACTGTTTCTTCATAAGCTGGTCCGGGGGATAACCTGTAGTTCTCTGCTTTCCGAAATCAGTTTTCGTGTGCCAATTTGACAAACCAGGCAATCCCAGCTCTTTATTGTGGCCACTCATCGAACAAATTCTGGCTGGGGTGCAATTGTTGACCGCATGATGAGCAACTACAATGACCACTACGCAGCAATCGACTTGTTCTCAATTATTAGTCTCCACACGCTGAGACGTTTGTTGTAGACATTCATTTTGGTTTTCAATTTATTTTATTTTGCTGTTCTCTATGCTTTGTGTTCATTGTTCTCGTTGTTTGTGTTAGCTTATATATGTTTTTAACATTGATGTAGTTTAATTTTAATTTTTGTTTCATGTACAACTTTTTATTATTATTTCAAATGTCCCATTTGGAGTTTAACTGTAGTGTACCACGTTCAATAAATAAATAAAATGATAAATTTATCGTAACAATTTTCAGCCACAAGTGGCAGATTATCACTCCCAACCTTAAACTAAGCAATTACATTTCTAATTTATTTGCACAAATTGCCCGTCAAACTTTGTTGGTCCAAATGGACGTATTTGAAATCAAACAACGCAAAAAAATAAATAAAAATACTAATTCAATTTATTTTACAAAAAATCCATACTTAACAAAACTTGACTCCCACTGAAACAGTATAGTCCATTGTATTTTGTTACAAATAAATTACAGAATGTGTGATGAAAACGACAATAACATATTTACAATATTTTTTGGTCTTATTGACAAAACTAAAAGATTAATCCTAATATTTTTTTAGGGTAAATAATTGGTTGTGTGACTTTATATGCAACTTAACTTAAAATGAATTCTAGTCTTTATTTACACTATTTTGTGACGCACAAAACACTTTGTAGCCTTTCATTATGAAAAATAATATGTTTTACAATAAACTGTGAAAGTTTTATAAGAAATGCATTGGTAATTGTTTGACATTCATCAATAATTTCCCTGTATTTCATTTCTTGAAATTTTCACAGCAAAAATATTTCATTTTTTAATTAAATGCTTTCAAATGAGAATTTTTGTATCCTGTATTTAATCTAATTCTCACTCAAACACATTCGAATTTAACCCAAATTGAATGTCCAAGTAATTTGGATTATATTCAAATGGGAAATAGTGGGAAATACACAAAAAAACTATTTTGAAGTAGTATCAATCAAACATTTTTAAAGTCCATTTTCAACAAATATTGTTAAAATAGTTTTTGTAAAAAATGTGCACATATAATTAGGAAAACAACAAAAAATCTGGTTAATAGAGCCAGCCTGAAGACACTGAATTCATACTGTTTACATTATTTATGAAAAAGGACCACAATGTCAATGTTTTTTTTTAATAATGCCAAACTGCTAGTAGTAGCAACTCAGCTGTGACTCTATCAAAACCATTCATTTTTACATGTCTTTATCAATGATAAGTTCATAAAAGCCCTAGAATAAATAATAAAGTCTTCAAACAAAAAAATAAATTAAAAACATTTTCTCACTTAATAACTTGGTGGATCGAAATTAATACTTAAACCGGCACTCGCCTCGTTTTCCAAATTGATGAAAGGCATGCTGGGCGGTGGCAAAAAACCGCTAGTCGCCGTGCTGTTGGTAGTGGTACCGTTGCTGGCGTGTGACGTCACCACACTCTGTGTTTGAGGCGGCGTTCTGGGCGGCGAAGGACTGTCCAAATTGATCACGCCCGGACTTACTGGGTACCCGGAACTGGAAACCGACGAGGGACCCGGAGTTGTCGTGCTACGTTGCTGATTGCCGCTCGTCGAAGAAATGTTGCTGGTTTCTGAAATTGATTTTTTAGTCTTTATGTATAGCACTACATATACAAAAAGTCAATGACCTATTATCACAGATAGACGGATTTATAAACAAAAATATATGTTGACAACATATCCGATTCTTTCTATCCTGACCAAATTCCCCCACTACTAAAATGCCACATTTAGTCGTAGGAATATTTATATTCTCTTTTTAACGCACGTATAAAGTCCTGCCTTTCAATTACACTTGGCAACACAGCACTAGACTAAACTCGGCCTCCTGTTTGTCGTAGTAATACATTCCGTTCTGGCCCAGAGTATCTTGTTGTCTCTTTCCTATGCGATGATGATTAGTATATGTTGAAAAAAGACTGATACATAAGATATGTTTGTGTTAGTCTGGAATACTTTTCGAATATCATCGTTTTGGTTTTGGGGCGGGACCAATTGAGCCTGGTACATGGCAGGAAACAGCTGTTGAGGCCGGACTTAGATTGGGCGACTTATCCCCACCATGGACCGCCCGCACCCCAAATTCCCCCTGGCCTATAAACATGTCAACACAACAAATAGTATTTTATGAATGGAATACTCTGTCTATCTGTGATAATAGGTCATTGCAAAAAGTACATAAATATTTACATTTCTTCAAATAATTCATGCATCAAATCAAAATCATCAATTCACAAATATTATATTACAATAATTTCCTGCTTAATATATTAACCTACAATACTTAGATTTTCAAAATCTACTAAGGTATCACAGCACCTAACTTCATTTGACAGTTCATTGTATAATTTTGGACCCTGAAAGAATAAGTTTTTTCGACTAAAATAATTCGTATTCCCTTTACTTATGATTACTTGTGCCTTGAACGAGTATTGTACTTGTGAATTTCTCTAACAAATTCAATTTTTTTTCACAGATATCCAGGGTCCTGGCAGTTAGATCATTTAAGATTTTATAAATAAATAATTGTATTTTGGGTAATTGTTTGTTTTACACTTAAGAGATTGGCCAGATTTAATACATAAATTTCACTTGTATATTTATTACAGTTTAAAATGATACGCGAAGGAATATTCTCTTTCTTTTATATAACGTCTATACAGGGAAAGTTTAAAATTTGCCCTTGTTCAGTCCTCATTGGATGACCCAATAGGGGATTAAGAACGAAATTAGTATCAGGAAGCCCAATGGAATAGCTCAAATAACAGGCTGTAGACTACCAAAATTATAAACGAATAAAAATACTGTCAATAAAAATAAAAGACATACATAATGCAAAAAAATTTAATTAAAAAGTGCTATCAAAAACTATATATCTAAGTGGGTAATTTGCTGTTCAGAAGGCTCATGTGTTATATATTTCTATGACTTGAAGTGGAAAAAACAAGAAGTGATCTGACCACAATAATCTGGTTAATAGTGGACTTAAAACTAATATTTGAATAAATTAAACATACATACATATTATACAAAACATAAGATTTGCCTAGGTGACAGAAATTATACAGTACTAGATTTTTATAGTGTTATTGCCATTCCATTTCTGTTCCTATGGTATTTTTGTACTTAATTTAATATATTTCAACAAACTTTAAATGGATAGTACTTAGCCCTTTAAATTTTTTGGCACACTATTCTGCAATAATTCTGGTGGCCAAATAAACTTATTGAAAAAAAAATATGATTGATCCAACATCAAGCCAATATTGAGGACCTGTTGGATATTGATGAGGAAATTGTAAGGAACTAGACCAAATCATGAATGAACTAGTGATAACAAAAATACCTAGGGCAATAATAGTAGAATCGCTCAAGGAACATGCTTTTTTTTTTGGAGGGTGAGGTTTGTTTTCTATTTTCCTCTTTTGAGAACATAAATAAATATACACAAATTATTAAAAAAAAGAATTCACAAATCAACAATTATTCGAGTCATTCCTACAACTGGATTATTAATCTCTTAGGTTTGCACAAAATGTAAAACAATATTTTCAATTATAGGATCTGAAATTCAAACTTTGATTAAGGGTGGGTATTATAAAACTGCTTTGACAGTTAACTTGAAGTTAACTTTTTGAATTACATGTAATTTCAGAAATTAACTTCAAGTTAACTCTCAAAGTAGTTTTATAATACCCGCCCTAAGTAGATTATAGTTGTATTCCTTTCAAGAGTTGGAAACACTCGAGCCACTCGCTCCGGTGTTTAGTAGCCCCCGATTTGCAGGGAACAGATGTGTGGCGCAACAAACACTTTTCGAAAGGAATAAGCGCGTGAAGCCCCGGAGCTGTTCCGGAGCTCCTCCTAGGTGTGAAAGGAATACAACTAATATTGTTATTCTTGTGCACTAATAAATTAATAAACGTTTTCAAATGATAATAACAATCAGAACCAATGTTGTTTTCCATTTTAGGTAGATAAAGGCCAGCATACAAAAAATTCACATAAAAGGAACTCTAGTTGTGACTATACATATACTATACTATCTTGAGCAACAAAAAAAAAAGTATCGTTTTTGATTGGCTAGCTAAGCATAGATAAAAAGCAGAAAAATTTGAAAATCTAACTTGCAATTAGTCGGTTAGCTTCCGTAGCCTTTCCACGACTCACCATTATTCAATTTGATGGTGGAATCTGGTGCGGGTCTTTTGGCTAAAGGCTCGTCATCGGAGTCCGAAAGTGTCAGATCTACGACTTCCTTTTTTCTTACTTCGCCTACTTTTGGTTTGTCTGTAGAGGATGTGGCCGCTGCATTCGAACTCACGAATTCTGAAAGAAAAAAAACATTGATCATTAATTTATTTATTTATTTATTCATACACGGGACTAGCCCATTTCAGTTAACATAATGGTACAAAAATTTAGTTTATTTTATATAAAACGTAATAGTGAAAAGGAGTAGCGGAAATAGGACAGCAAAAAAAAGACGTTGTTATTTATTCAGCGACGTTTCGACCATATATTTTGGTCTTCTTCAGGCTTCCAAATATAACGTCATTGCTAAAAATTCCAAATACATATAGGCACATAAAACACGAAGCTGGACATTACAGTAAAAATCAGTCAAAATTTAAGAACGATAATTATGATTAAAAATCTTCGCAAGTCAAACAAACACGCCAGCAGCAGAGCAGTTCTCACAGTGAAGAACCGCAATTACATCTGTTGGCCTATCTGGGCCCATAACCTTTATAAGTAATAAGTAAACGCAGGACAGATGTGAAGTAAGAAGTAAAAAATTTGTAAAGATTGATGTATAAATTTAGAACGTTTTTACAATGAGAAATATTATATTAATCTGACAAGAACAACTACAAAACTTCAATATCATAAATAATAAATCATATATCAAAATGTACAGGGAAACTTCTTAGCTGATGTATAAAAAAAAAGTATTTTTAATACACATTTAGAATAACCCCATCCTTATCATTTATCAATCATGAATCAGATGCAATAGAAAACTACCAACAATAACTAATGTCGATTGCTAATATGTCAAATTCATGTACAAATAGAAAATTCCTAACCTAATTTTATTTGCCTGGTCAAGAAGCGACATACGTTTAGTCACTAGAACGACTGGTATTTCTAAATAGGCAGTAAACATTCTATATTACTGGAAACTTCTTTCTTCAACAGTTGACCCTATCGAACGTCTTGGAAAAAACAGTGTATATGGCATCAACTTGACGCCCACTCTCCAAGGCGCCCGACAAATAGTCCACAAATGAGATTAGATTAAGTTGGGTCGACCTCTTTTTCATGAAACCATACTCTGGTCATAGATAATAATATCACTCAACTGGACTGTCAGGTAGTCGAGTCTTCTATAAGACATTCAACAAGCTTAGGAACACAACTCAGGCTGGATACGGGAAATACTCCGGTTTTCAGGGATTTATTGAAAACTAGATGCAGTGGTCTAGCAGTCACAAAAGACCAGAGTCTGAGGAGTCTCGGCAGTATTATTAACATTATGCTTGATTTAAAAATTTGATAATTGTTGAGGGATGTATAATTAAAATGGTGTTGGCCTGCAGTGAAATTGGGATTGGATTTGGTTGAGAATACACTTGAGAAGTAAAAAGCAAATTATTTGCTATATCAGGGCCAGTGTTAGAGGCGGATCCATTAAAGTACATTTCTCTAGGTAATTCAAGGTCTTTTTTAGTTGTATTAATGAAGCTCCATATAGTTATTTGTGTACCCAGGCCGTAAAGTTGATCTTTTTTGGCTGAATCAGAAATTTGCGGCCGAGGCGTAGCCGAGGCCAAGCAAATTTCAGGTGAGGCCAAAAAAGATCATTCGGTCGAGGTGCACACAAAATTTTTTGGGCGAGTGTTTGTTCTTGAAAAAAGACGAAAATTCAACAGTAGCTTTAAACGTTTATTGATTAGATAAATAATCCAGCAAAGATTAGTTAGATAAACATAATTATTAGTAACAAAAACTAGGATAAAGGAAGTGTGATTATAGAAAATTGCCGACTTTTTCGCCTGGTATCCTACATTGTGCTTTTTTAAAAAAGTAATAGAATAGGGCTAAAATCAAAAATTTGGTTCCATTGTGGTTGCTAACTAATTGTTTATTGGTTGTGTTGATGGTTACGGCACCGCGTTTTCGATTGTCTGTTTATATTTTCTCCAAAGTAGCGGCCGTAAAGTAAAAGCGGCCGTAAAGTAATAAAGCAAATGCGGCCGTGAAGTAAATGGGGCCGTAAAGTAAATGCGGCCAAAAAAGATATACTTTAGGGATGATATTGAATCCGTAAAACTAATCTTTTTGTGACAGTCGCCTAAAAAAGCCTTTTATATTGTCTGGCAGGGAAGATACGATTTCACGCATAAAGTTAGCACAACAGGATCTGGATAGTGTTTTACATTGCGTTCTTAACAAAACATTGTAATCCTCTAAAGAGTTCGAAAATTTGTAATTTCTATGGGATGCTTTTGTGAATGAGACAAGTTTGCGAAGTTCTTGAGAAACCAGCGAGTTGGTAGTTTTTTTTTTTTTGAGGGACGTATAAATCAATTGCTGACTATAGGATTTTGTAAAACGTGTTTATCATTGTCTAATGGTTGGTCTCTCATTACATCATACCCTACCTAAAATCATAATAAAAACCAGTTTTATGCAAACCAGGAGCAGAATGAGCGCTCTTCAAGGGAATTTGTGTTTCTGAAGATGGATGGTGGGGATCCTCTGGGACTAGAATATCTTCAGACTAGTTGTGGATGTGGCTTCAATGTTGGAGAGAACGAGACCGAGAATAGGGAATTTTTATATTTCTTAATTTTTTTTTTAGATACTTCTAGTGATCAGATATTGCACAGTTTTCTTTTTTTCCATTTTAATCTATACGTTGTAGGAAAAAAAAATATTGAAATTCAAATTAAAGACTTTGGCGCCAAAACGCGAGGTTTCAAATATGACAGCGCTCGTGACGTCAAGATTTCGTAAACAACAAACGCAGCGAACGAATTCCTGCTGACGCAGTGCTATAATATTTTTTTAGGCGACTGTCACAAAAAGATCAGTTTTACGGATTCAATATCATCCCTAAAGTATATCTTTTTTGGCCGCATTTACTTTACGGCCGCATTTACTTCACGGCCGCATTTGCTTTATTACTTTACGGCCGCTTTTACTTCACGGCCGCTTTTACTTTACGGCCGCTACTTTGGTGAAAATAAACAAACCATCGGAAACGCAGTGCCGTAACCATCAACACATCCAATAAACAGTTAGTTAGCAACCACAATGAAACCAAGTTTTTAATTTTAACTCTATCCAAATTTCCAATTTTCTTGCATTTTTTTCGGAAAATTCAAAAATTAAATAATTCTCAACGTTATTGTCTTCAGGTCCACCTATGTTATAATCTATGTTAAAATTTACAATTATAGTCAGAAATACCTAACATATCAGCAAGTTTTCAAAATTGATTGCTTTTTAAAAAAAGCTCAATGTAAGATACCAGGCGAAAAAGTCGGCAATTCTCTATAATCACACTCTCTTTATCGTAGTTTTTGTTATTAATAATTGTGTATCTACCTATCTTTGCTGGATTATTTATTTGATCAATGAAGTTTAAAGCTACTGTTGAATTTTCTTCTTTTTTCAAGAACAAACACTGGCCTAAAAAATTTTGTGTGCACCTCGGCCGAATGATCTCACCTGAAATTTGCTTGGCCTCGGCTGCGCCTCGGCCGCAAATTTCTGATTCGGCCAAAAAAGATCAACTTTACGGCCTTGGTACACAAATAACTATTGTGTTATTCATGTGTGTTAAATTTTGCTTTTTATAAAAACTGGTGCAATGTGCAATGGACGAAATAGTACATTAAAATACAAGTTTCATAAGACGTCATTTTATCGCACGAGCCCTATATTAGAAGACGAGCCGGAAGCGAGTTTTCTAAAGGGCGAGTGCGATAAAATGTCTTATGAAACGAATATTTTATACTATTTTTTCTATTTTGGTATTGTTTAATTGAAAAAAACAAACTTTTCTTGGAAATTTTATTCTCATTTTTCCTGATTTCATATGTTTAGGTTGGCAACACTACATGCCAAATATAGAAATCTTCTATTATTTTTTTATCGCGAATGACAGTTCAATGGCCATCAATTAGCTAGTGTTACCAACCTCCGATAAGTAAAAAAGGAGTGTCACAAAGAGGTTCTTTTCGAAACTACTTTTAGTATCGAAAAGACTTCGATATGACACCAAAATAGAAAAAATATTGTAAAGGACTGCTTTTGTAAATTTTATTCCACTTGCAAGTTTCCTATTGACTATTCAAAGGTTTGTTTACAGAATCCTGACGTCAAAAAAGGTAGCCACAGAGATAAATACTAATAATAATAAGAACAGAAAGACCTAGGAGTCTATGTCACTGATGATCTGAAATGGGAGACTCATATATCCCACACAGTAAAGAAGGCCAAGCAACTAATATACCTTATGAGAAAAGCTTTTGAAAATCAAACTGTAAAAATGATAAAAAAAAAACTGTACATACACCACTTACATTAGACCAAAACTAGAATATGGCCACACAGTTTGGTCTCCTTACTACATCAAAGACATAGATCTCTTAGAAAGTGTGCAGAGAAAAATAACCAAAATTCCAATTGAACTTAGAAATCTGCCATACGAAATAAGGCTACAAAAATTCCAATTCACAACACTCAGAGAAAGAACAGAAAGAGGAGATCTAATTGAAACACATAAGATTCTAAATGGCTACTACTGCTCTACAGACCTAAAACTGGAAGATATGTTCCAAATGAATCCAAACCTAAACCTCAGAGGACACCACCAAAAACTGAAAAAAGAGAGAACCGTTCTTCTTGGAAGGAAAAACTTTTTAACCAATCGCGTAGTCTATTAATGGAATTCCTTAAGCCCAGAAACGATAAGTGCACCAAACAAAAACATTTTCAAAAATAGACTAGACCAAAATCTTTGTACAATAAACAACACATTAGTGCATTATTTTTAAGGAAGTACCAAAAATAAAAAACTAAAGGTAAAAAATCAAAAGCGATGGACTCATCGGTCTTAGGCTGCTTTCCATTGCCAAGAACATAATAATAATCATATATTATATCACAAGACCTTCAAATTTAATCGATTAAACTATGCAACATATTTTGAGCATGATTTTGCTTGGAAAATAGTTGAATGCACAATAACTTAATAAAAGCTCGAGACCGCGAAGCGGTCGAGGGCTTTTATTTAAAAGTTATTGTGCATGAAACTATTTGCCAAAAAGCAAAGTTGTGCGAAAAATATTTGGATAGTTTAATCCATTTAAATTTCTAGGTCGAGTGATATACGGCTAGATTATTTCCTGAATAATTATTAGGATTGAAGCCACAAACAAAAAGTTCTATTTTTTATTATAAAATGTCAGAATATTTCTATCAAAATTCTGTCAAAAAAGGTAAACAAAAATTTAATCGCTGATAAACAGGTCTTGTGAAATAATCACTTATTTAAACAAAATTTATTCAAATAATGACGTTGTCTGATTGGTCTATTTTATAATGAATGAAATAATCATTAATAAAGTGTTTTCGGTAGTCCAACTTGCATAAGGCAAATTGAAATCACCAAGGATACAAAATTCAGCATTTAGATACAGTTCCGAAATTGAGTCTAGTTATGCTCAAAGTCAAATAGTATAAGTCCACGCCGGAGTTAGGTGAAATTCAAGTTCTAACCAAAAAACTCGAAGTTCCCACCTCGACTTTGCCTGGAATGGATAAAGCCTTGTCAACAGATGATGAACCTTTGCCAACAATTGCAGGTGCCTCGGACAACTTGATTGTAGAGACTCCTGCTTCTACCCCCCTAGATCAGGGTGTTATCATCACCACTGTGACACGAATGATGGAAGAACAAACACAACATGTAACGTCTAAATTCCAGGATTTTGCTCAGGCCATTAAAGAAGCAAACAAGGATCTGGTTCAGTTTCTCTCTAAAAGCAATATATTGCCAACCAACAGCCAAGAAATCCATGGGAGCTGGCCTGGAGGCTGGCTCTAGTATGAAAGAACCACTAAGGAAAAAAGGTGAAATAGTTGGAAGAAGAAAGCACTGGGAGGTAAATTGATGGCCTCTACTCTGCAAACGTTTATTTTTGTCTCAAAAGTATCCCTACAAGTTAATGAAACACACCTAATGGATATCTCAAAAATAACTTTGGACCAGATGAAAGCTTTATTGTGGAGAGGGTTGAGGGTATGGTGAATATAGAGCCTTTAAAATCAATGCAAGCTAAGACTTAGAAGAGAGCCTACTGAATCCAATTACTGGCCAGAAAACATAATATGTAAATAAAAAAATTCACCTTCTTCCACCCCCAACAACAAAGGGGCAGTAGAACTTTTCGCCCCATACCGAGAGGATTCAGTAACAGTAGAAACAGTAGTGGATGGGGACGGCAACACTGACACTAGACTTGTTACCCTAAATGCAAGGAGCCTCCGCGACAAATCTCTTGAACTGGAGTTTTTTCTACACTGTCAGAAATACCCGGAAATCCTGTGTATCACGGAAACTTGGATCACACACGTGTAATAGCCTAAAGCGCAAATCTCGATAATTCTCGCAAGAAAACATTAACTTTTTTAATTATATACATATTATCGAAAAAAAAATTGCTTATAGACCTCCATCCACTTAAACTGGAGGACAAAACAAGAGAAGTAATCACAACACGAAAAAAACAAAATTCCTGGATAACCTCAGAGTTAATAGAGGAGGGTTCCGATCTGAGAAAACTTCATGTACAAGTGAAAAGATCAGGCAGCCATAGGCTCCAAATGTGATACCGGAATAAACTTAAAGCACATAAAAAAATATTGCTGTGGCAAAAAAGTTCTATAACTCCAACAGGATATTAACATCGGACAACATCACTTGTTAAATTATTAAACTACTATGTTTTCTATAAACTTAAATTTTTCAAATTCTCTTAGCCGGTGTTCTCAACTTGGAAGGACAGTATGTGGATGTATTTTCGCTGGATAGGACTGGATGAGCTATCGATATTGATGTTGATGATAAGTGCTATTATTATCATTGTATTGCTTATTTTTACTTCTACTTTCACGCCCTTACTTTTGGATTTTTTATTTGTGACAATTCCAAAACATGTATAATGTCTATGGAAATAAACTATTTGTATTTGTATTTTGTAGGGGGAAAATACACTGCACATAATATGATAAATTGGCTTCTAGGAAAGTTCAGAAGCACATACACTGAATTAATAATATATTAACATTAATGGAGAAATAATGTGTTGAGAATATGGCTTCATAAGAAAGATCTCTTGAGACATAGAGATTTTATACATACTGATTATAAACAAAATTGTATATCTTTACAAAACTTTTTTAAATCATAGCAGTTTTTACAGGGACCAATTCTAAAATGATTTTAACTCTGTTCTGTATCTATGATGAAATCTTATAATTATTTATCAGTTTTAATTGTTGAAGCTCAATACTCAAGTACAACATTATTTGAAAAAGTCTAAACTACTAAACTTACCAACATTATCTTCAATTATCTCAACAGAATCATCAATAGGAATACTCTTGGGGGCGCTAACAAAAACTTTTTCAGGCTTCTTTTCATTGCTATGACTGCTCCAACTCCCATCCTTCAACAACTGGATCTCTTTACAATCCTGAGGTAACTGCGTGGAGCTCAAGACTTCTTGGAAGTACCCGTCGATAACCAAATTGTCGTACAAGGCGGGTTTATCGCATACGGGGCAATTCCAAGTGGGTTTACGTTCGTTCATTTGCAAAAACAAAGAGGCATCGAAACATTGCAGGTGAGCGCAGCTTTGCGGACGACAAGGCGTCGTCATGCGCATTTTGCCTAGCGGACACATCAGAGACACTCGGAGGCTTGTGGTGGCTATTTCCACATCTCCATCGTCAGTCAATTTTTCCTTAACTAAAAAATTCTTTATATAAAACAGATTAATCGTAAATATAAAAATTCTTACTTAATGCTCGTGTATGGTCTGCATGTTTGGCCCCTTTTTTTTGTAACCTTTGCAACAAATCCGAAGAAGTGAGTTTTGTGACCAAAGTCACTGTCATGGCGTATCCGCGCCCATAATCCGCAGCCCACGATATCGTCAATTGATTGGCTACGGTTGGACTTAACTTAATCATTTGTGTTATGTTAACAGGACGTGGCGGTCGTTTCGGTTCTACTCCTTGTTTATTTGTTGGAATGGGATTCTATGGAAAATATTTTATTGTTTAATTTAAAAAAAAAAAGTAACAAAATCCTCACTGGTAGCGGACATAATTTGTTATTGACTTTTACAATAACTTGAGGTGGAAAACAGTCTTCCTGCTCACAAGTGGTTTCCAAAAGACAGAATCTCAACTGGACTTGTTTTAGGTAATCACACTTAACTCCGGGTCGAGTGTCTCTAGAAATAGCTATATCTGTGGCTTGTTGCGGCGTTAAATGGAAATAAAACGGTTGTTCCTGCATCCTTTGATTAGTGGTCGGAAGAAGACTTGAAGGTTTAATGAGATCAGCTAGAAATGTTTTAGAATAGGTAAAAAACTATTTTGCTAGCGAAAGATAATACACTCACCGGTAATATCGTAGAAAGGTAACTTTTTAAATCTAACATCAGGATGTATAGGAAAATTGCTACTTAACACGGAATTTTGCTTAGGGTTAGAGTATTGTTGTGGATAGTACATATTTTGGCCCAAAGTTTGTTGGTTATAAACAGCAGCTGCTTGTCTCTATTGACGAAAAAAAAATCTGTCAGTATCTATACTGTAGTTCAGACTAATTTTAAGCAGAGTACTTACAGTTAATGTTCTAGTGTCAACACTATAAGGATGCACTGTAGCTGTGTTCCTTCCTGGTGGTTGAGGCATGCCTGCGGCTTGAGCTGCTTGTTGTTCGGGAGTGACTGGAGAGCTGGCTTGAGGTATGGAGGAAGTTTGCCTGGAATAATTGCTTAAATCAGGGAACAAGGGGGAATTATTAGTACATAGTATTTTTGTTGACAATGATAAATTTTACATACATGCTCACATAACAAAGACTGATTTTAGAAGGAATAATTGTACAAATGAATATAACAGAGGAAAAAAAAAACACATAAAGATAAGGTAAGTAACACCAACATTTCTAGTAAAAATACAATTTTTTTGATAGAACAAGCATAAGCAACTTTTTGATGGAATTTGGAAAACTGATATGTCTTTAGTTTCTAGGATTTTTAACCCTACAGTGGCCACTTAAAATAATGCTGTTTGTGAGGGATGCAACAATATTGGCAATAGTAGAACAAAAAAAAAATACATATAATATGTTATCCAATAAAAACAGAACAGGGAAATTTTTGACTTTTTTTTTTGAGCAAATCCAAAATACCCATTTTATGTATTTTTTTTTTGGGACAATGTACTGGGTGTTTGTTTATAACTGGAACACTCAGTAACTTTCTTATCATCGAAAATAAAGGGCATGCATGTTTAAGTTCGAAAATTTCTAGTGTACGTTAAGATCCAAGTTAAAATTTCCAGGGGTATTTTGGAACGCTTTAAAACACTTTATAACAGGAGGAAAACTAGAAAGAAAAAAAATACATCACATCACAAATGGAAATAGTCAGAGTATAACCAACAATATGGATACTTATAACAACCATGTTTAATGAACATTTTTCAAATATAGGGCAGACACTTGCTGTGCAAATACCGAACAGGACAGCAAATATCTTCCAAGAAGAGGAAGTTAATCAAAGTATATTTCTTTGACCAACAAATATTTCTGAACTGAAAAAAATAGTAATAGACCTGAAGGACAACTGTGCGCCAGGTAGATTGTAGATTGTACATTGCGGGGGAGTCGTTTTGGCTTTTCAGCCGCTCAGCACTGCTACCTTTGCAGATATTTTGTACATGACTCTACATCTCAAATTGTCTCCAGGAAGCGTAGACTTCTGCCGAAGGAAGCTATTTTCCTGGGTGTTAGTTGGCCCACTTCTTCTGGTGACAGTGTTGCCCCCTCGAGGAATTTGAGCCTCTTGCAGAATTGGTGCTCTGCAGTCTCTATTGCGTCTGAGCAGAATCTGCAGAGATCGTCTTCCGCTCTGCCCATTAACCTTAAATGGTATTTTACTGGGCAGTGTCCTGTGAGCAGTCCCACCACCAATCTGATGTCTGGTCTGCTCATGCTTAGGAGCTGTTCAGCTCTTGTGCGCCAGGTAATGACAACATTGTAAAAAGAGAGTTGATATTATTATGGGAAGTAATTGGAAATAACATAGCCAATACTATAAACAGAGTACTAGAAAGTGGAATATTCCCAGTAGAGCTGAAATAGCCAAGATGATCCCAGTGTATAAAAAAGATGCCCATGATGATCTGAATAATTATCGCCCAATATCCCTTTTACATATTTTTTCCAAGATTGTGGAAAAGGTTATAAAAGCAAGGCTGATCAGCTTCATCAACTCTACCTTTAAATTTGATAAAAGGCAATATGGGTTTCAAGAGAAAACCAGTGATCTTGGAACCACTGCGGATCTGCTGGACCACATAGCTGGCGGAATTGACAAAAATAAGTATGTTATTACGGTTTTCATTGACCTCCAAAAAGCGTTCGACACAGTGGACATAAATTTATTGATTGACAAACTGGACAGACAAGGATTTAGGGGGAAATCTTGGAATCATACAGTACTGACAGAAAACAATACACTATCGTAAACGACTGTGCCAGCAGCCTCAAGGATGTTCGGGTTGGAATCGCCCAAGGTTCTGTAGGATGGGCTAATTTTAATAGGAAACATCAATTTCTGAGCGAGATACAAAAAAATTAACCCCCCACTCTGAGGCTCAAATTTCATGAAATTTTGATTGGTGCAAACCGCATTTTGATATCTTCAACCGTTTAGCCGCTAGAGGGCACTTCTCGATTTTGAGCAATAATCTGAAACCTTCATAACTTTTTTGTTTATGGAAAAAATTGATATCTGTAAAAACTTTCTGGAAGCACTTTTCTAAGCAGAATTCAGTGACGTTCTCAGTTAAAAGTTGGTCAAAACTTCGAGATATTGACCAAAGTCTGTTTTTTTCAATAGGGCACCCTATATACAGGGTGTCAATTTGAAAACTTCGCACCCCTATTATCTCAGAGTAGAAAAATTTTCGAAAAAATCCCTGAAACCCGTCAACTATAATTTGAAGGGGGATAAGTTTTTATGCAAAATTCACCTTCCCTCTTTCAACCCCCAGCCCCCAGAGCCACCCCCTAAAAAAATTAAATGGGAAGGGGGGTCAAGTGATAAATAATTTTGCAGGGTTTTTAATTCCATACATTATTTGGAAATATTGACAGTTTAACCCAAACTAACCTAAACGGTTAATTTTAGAGGAAACCGATCTTATATTCTTACCTTAGATTTTCATAAACTATCATTTGACACCATTTTTGAATTTAATTGGAGATTAAATTTTTAACCGGAATTTTTGATCATGGATTAAATTCGAAGTTGCTGTCAAATGATAGTTTATAAAAATCTAAGATGAGAATGTAAGATCGATTTTCCTCTAAAATTAACCGTTTAGGTTTTACAGCCTGTCAAAGTTGCAAAAAAGTCAATTTTTGACTGTTAATATTTCAAAAACAGTTGAACTTAGGGATTAAAATTTTGTACCTACCAAAATGTCTGGAATTAAAAACCGTCCAAAATGATGTATCACTTGACCCCCCTTTCCATTTAAAATTTTCTAGGGGGTGGCTCTGGAGGCTGGGGGGTTGAAGGAGAGAAGGTGAATTTTGCATAAAACTCAACCCCCTTCAAATTATAGTTGACATGTTAAGGGGTTCAAAAAAAAATTCTACTCCAAGATAATGGGGGTGGGAAGTTTTCAAATTGACACTCTGTATTAACAGCTCATTAGAAAGCTGTGCCTTTTCTGATTTCAATGATGTAAAGTTCGATAGGTTTATCTCCAACAGTTTTCGAGAAAAAAAAAATATTTTGGTTTTTGTCATAAGAAACAATGTGTTGGAAAGAGACCTTTCTCCGTTTCCTTACACATATAAAGTCCTCTTCTTACACATTGCTTCTTATGACAAAAACCGAAATAATTTTTTTCTCGAAAACTGTTGGAGATAAACCTATCGAACTCTATATCATTGAATTCAGAAAAAGCAGAGCTTTCTAATGAGCTATATGTAAGGTGTCCTATTGAAAAACACCAGAGAACGTCACTGAATTCTGCTTGAAAAAGTGCTTATAGAAAATTTTTACGGAAATCAATAATTTTCATAAACAAAAAAGTTCAATTCAATTCAATTCAATTTCAATTCTTTATTGTTTAAAAAGAATATACATTCTTATAACAGTAGGTTCTGCACAATAATAAACTTAATCTAAGTAATGCTACATTTCTCATACTTATAAGCTACACGTTTAAATATGTAAACCCAAATTTGAGATTGAAAAAGAACAAAAAATAATACTCTATAATAATTCAGGTACGAGGAGAATAGGAAGATAAAATTAAAATCTAAAGAATAGGTCTATTCATTTCTTAAGAACGATCTAAGTTTAAGAATACTAGTAACAGTTTGGAAAATAACCCTCACCAGTTGAGGGTTTAGATTGTCCAAATTATGAGCAAAATTCGGTATATCACCCCAATCTGCCGGCCTAACACTACGATCTAAAGGACATTCAAAGAGAACGTGAAGAAATGTTTCAGGCACTCTTAGGTTACAAACCGAACAGAGTTCTTCTTGATTAATTCTATAAGCTATGCCATTCCAGAATATATTGCAGTTATAACTCGAACAAAGTCGTATTTGTGTAATAACTCTGATCATGTAAAAAGCACAGTCAGAATAAAGGTACTTCAACGAATGCTTATTTAAATCAAATTGACTATAAAACAAAGTATACGTAGAATTTCGTGCCACTCGATAGTCGGTCTGCAAACATCTTTCACGAAAATGTTTTAATATCTCTGGTTTACTACGTTTTAAAGAAATGTTATTTAAAGACCACAAGTGGGTTATTCCGATTTCTTGAAACCATCTGTAAAAGTTGTAAGCCCAATTAAACTTAGGGGAGGCATTACCACCAAATAAATTGAGCTGGCGATTTAGACAAATTTTGGGCAACCTGTGATTCTCCATGCCTAATAGTTTAATAAAATAGTTTAGCGTTGACTTGAACACGAAATACGACAGAGGCAGACTGTCTGTTTCAACTCTAATTATGGCATGGGAGGTATTCTTTGGGAGCCTTAAAAGGGACTTAAAGAACGAGGACTGAACCTTCTCCAGGACATCAGCATATCGAGGCCCCCAGACTGGTAAACAATTACTAAACGAGTTCATAACGGAACCAGAAAACAGCTTCTTATTAACAGAAAATGAATTGTATTTTATTTTAGATGTTAGTGACATAACCGCACCTGCCGCTTGACATGCAAGTAAAATTGTATTGTCCGTCATTATCCGAAAGCAGTTCGATGGGGTGAACACGACTCCCAAATAGACAAATTAAATAAGAATTTGAACCCATCTGTATAGGGCAGTCCTGGTCTGTTGAAACACATTATTTTTGATTTGTTTGAATTTATGATAAGATTGTTTTCACTGGCGTATTGCTGAAGTATATTTAGTTTTTTCTGTAAATCAATTTCCGAGTCGCTGAGTAGTATAAGGTCGTCACAATACAGTAGAAGAGTTATATCGTTAGTAGCGTCCATGCTCAACCCCCCCAACCCGCGATCCAGAAAAAACTGGACAATATCGTACAGAAAAATATTAAACAGGGTAGGACTAAGAGTTTCACCCTGCAAGACCCCAGAAGAAATGGGAAAGGGCCTTGTTAATCCCTCGGTTGCTCTTATCTGAACCGTGGCTTTATCGTAAAGGTCTTTTATGGTCATTATGAGATTTGAACTGATTCCTACTTGGTA